TTTTTTTACTCCCAGGAAAAATTGTCAGAATTAGAACTTTTTTGAAGCAGTTGACTTGACTATTGTTGCATATATTATCTGATCAGATGTTGTTGTTGTTGTTGTTGTAGCGACAGAATTCTGTCGAGTTGACAGTCCTTGGCCGGAATAAATCCGGGTCCGTTCCGGTTACGTAGACCCGACTGTCGTGGGAACGGTCTGATCAGATTTAACTGGTCCCTTTATTTAAACTGTGCAACTGCAAAGCGAATCGATAAACAATTTCTCCCTAGATTGGTACAATCTTTTTTTATGTTTATGTGAAGTTTGATTTCCATATGTAAATTAGTGTGTGTTTGACATCTGTTTGTTTACGACACGAAAAGTTTCTCTGGCCATTTTTAGCATAGAAAAAATATTGACAACCAGTTTGCTTGAAATTTTATATTTCCAATAAAACCATAACTAGAGAAACATTGAAAATGTTGCAGAACTGTTTTGTGGAGTATATTTTAACATTAACACAAGTATGTTCGTGACATAAAGCATTCAGTGAAGGTCGCGAACTCATCGAAAACTTGCCCCACGTCAGGCGTTCATCCTGCTCTGTCAATGACAATTTGAATCGATTCAACATATTTTGGTTAATGTTTTGGGTATAAATAGTGGCAATACTAGACGTGTACCAAAATACCTGAAACTACGTCGAAACTGTCTAATAATATAGCGAAATAAAAAACCAAAATTCACTGAAGGCACTGACAGTACTGACACCTATCCCAGCTGAGGCTTGCAATTAGCGTTAGTATTGGCTCAGGAGCATATATGGTATTTGTCAGTCCACGTCAAATTTGAACCGATGATATGAAACTATAATGTTTTGTAATATACTAGTATATTTTTGTGTTCAAAATGGTCTCAATTAAACTGAGAATTTGGAGCAAATTTAGAAAGTTTTGTATATAATATAAGTATGTATTATTATCAAAAAAATAATTTTTTTTCTGCCGAAAATTCACAATAAATAAAAAACGTTCCTAAGATAACTTCTCATTGTTGAAGATATCTTGAGGTTAAGATTTTTTTTTTAATACATTATAGTGTGTATGTATATTTATAATATATTTGAATCATCTAATAAAGTTTAATTACGGAAATATCTAAGCAACACTAAAAACCATTTCGCTTAACTAATTTATCAAGAAGAAAGTTCAAAGTTTTGCATGCAGGCAGTGACATATATTTATACGAAGCTGTGTATGTATTTGTAAGTTCTTTGTAAGTATAGCTCTCCAAGAATTTTAAATGCACATAAAAGGGAAGTAACCAGCTTGCACTCAATCGCAGCGCAAAAAATAACTGTATGTGCAAGTAGCTAAGTATATATGTATGCATGTATGTACGAGTCTATATACATATGTTTTTGTATGCACATATGCATATATGTGTGTATATATGCGTGTGTATGTAAACAGCTAGCCCTTTTTATCACTGCTGCAACACTCAACTGAAGTGAATTGCCGTTGACGGTGGAGTACGTAAATTGGGTTGAATTAATTGACAACATGGCACAACCGCAGCCAATGTGGACCCGCTGTCAATGGCGACCCAAAAGCCTCACTATGTGTTATTTATGCAAGCATGTGTGTGTAAGGTAGGCCATACAACACACTCATACCCACACACACACACACATTCATACCGATGGTGGCGCGGCTGATTGGACGTTTAGTTGGCAAGCAAACTAACTGCCTAGTTGGCTGGCCTGGCTGATTGACGCTTTGACTGCTTGATTACTCGCTGCATTGCATTTCATATAATTTAATATTTTTTCCTTTTTTTATTTTTCATTCTATAACTTCAATTCAGTTTGCCTGCTTGTTTATGAATTGGTTGCGATCGCTGTGTGTTGCGTTTATTTGCTGTTGTTCTTGTTGCTGCTCGTATGCGCGCTTTATTTGCTTATGATTATTTGCTCAATGATATGTGAATATGTACACACACATATATTTATGTATGTATGCTAAGTATAGTATATATATACATATATAAATACATATATGTGTGTATGTGCGTGTGCGTTTCGCCTACGAGCTGGCGGCATGCAACAAGTTGAAGTTAAAGTTCATTGGCTTTTGCACTGACAACCTACAACAACAATAGCAACAGACAGACAAGCGAGATATATCTCTTTATGAATTTGTTTATGGAACTTATCGTGCATTTATACACACACACATACCTACATGCATACATATGTATGTGGTTCTGTGCATTTTTTTGTAGTCATTTACATTTTGCAATATCCGCGCGCTCAAAGTGCTAAGCCGCGATTTGCTGGTGTGGCTTACGATCAGAATTGCAATAAAAAAAGTCAAAAAGGGGAAAGAGTAACATATTTATATAAATATTTGCAAATCATGCGGCAACGCACATCAAAAATGTAAAGTGGAAAATGGATTTTTATAGGCGCCAGTCAACTTTGTAGCAAATATGGATATATGGGCGTATGGAAAGGCTTAAATGACTTGTTAAAAACTACAAACTCGCAGGAATAAAAATTGATGGCGCCAATCTTCTATATAAAATAATTGGGTGCTTACACCTCTGTTAAATGGGATAATTTTATGGCGGGTTTTTTTATTTTATTATTTATAAGATTCGCTGGGACTTCGAAAATATGCTTCAGGCTTTAATCCCGTTTTTATTAGCTATTTTATATCTGGAACATGGATATTAAGGTGGTAATCCTTTGAAGGAAATGTCGGCGTGACGAGCTAACACTCACACATGCAATTCAAATTATTGTACTTGAGTGTGAAACTTCACATACTAAGAAACTACAATAAAATGTTAAGTAAGTTTCGAAGAATAGTGCAGACAAAGAACACACTTAAGACAGCGTTTGATTTGAGGACACAAGGAACCTTTCAGATCACCAATTTCTGCCGAAACCAAGTTATACAACAAAAAAAAAAGTAATGTAGCTGATCACAAAGTGACTAAAATCACCCCACTGCTCAATCCGAAAAGCACTATGCAGTTCAGAAACCCAAAACAAATTATAGGGTGTGTTCGACATTAAGTATGCCATTTGCCGTTGTTATTAATTAATAATATAATATTTAGCAACAACGCACATTCATATGCAATCATATTTAAAAAAATTTGGTCAGCACTTATGTGTGTACTATATACATAGATTTGCAGCAAAGCAGATGATACAAAGTGTTTGCCCTAATGCAAGAATTAGTATTTTTATAGAGGTAGAAGTGCCTTCAACAGCGAAAATTTTCTTAAAAATTTTGCTTTTCTTGCAATATACAAGTATATGTATCGTATGTACTGCATATGCACACATATGTATACCATATATGTTATGTATTTATATAAAAATGTTTTCCGCTCAATTTGTTAATATTTATGATGCTATTAGCTAAAAGCGTACACACTTTAAATAAATTAATTTGCGTCAATTGAACAAATATGAAAGATAATTTTGAATTGAGTGCACTCAAACACAAGACAACACATACATAGTCACACATGCATAGATGTGGAAAAGTGTGAGTCACTATCTAGAATAGTGAATTCTTAGAATAGTAACATCTTAGGACAGTTATATTAATATCTATTATAGTGATATACATTCTGTGACATTTATTTGATGAGCTTTAAAATTTGATTTAATGAAAAAGTACAGTAATATAGAAGGATATGAAAAAAAGAACAATAGATAGAATTTTGCAAAGATTAGAAGGAATTAGAAGTTACTAATGCTTTAAATATACATTTGGTTGAGGTTATGAAAATCTAAAGTAAATATGAGTAATGAAACAAAACGGGCTTTACAATATCTTAAGAATATACACTCTGATCATGCGTGATTCCAGAGAAATGGCAACGAAATGGAATTAACTGTTGAACGGGTATTTAGATAGAAATTTTATTAGAAATTTATCAAGAACTTGCACAAGGAGAAAGAGAATTCCCATTGCTTTCACCATGTCGTTAGTCCGTAAAGCCACAACTTTCCTACCGGAAGCGCGTAACTTGTGGTTTCTCCATGTAATTGTTTCACGCCAGCAACATGTCGCTCGATAAATGATTTCCGGACAACCTCTTGACGAAATATTAAATTAAGCGAAAAGGGAGATAGAGAGAGAGAGTTGATTTCAGTACGCCAACCCAGTCATTATGAGATTAACCTGGCATACAATACTAAAATCACACATTTTCGAAGTATGTTTATAGGTACTTGCCTTAATCAACGAGGGAGGGGATTGGTTGAATCGACCACTCTCAGTTTAAATATTGCATTTTCAAAAAAGTTTACTTTATTTTTTGGTATTTACTGTATTTTTAGGTGACTAAAATGACTAAAATTTTAAATCGAGATCAAACTTTTCAGTTACAGTTTTATGATTTGCTTGAGTGACTACTTGGAGACAAATGATCCGAGCAATATTACATTTTTTTCTGTATGTTCTATATATACTGAATTCGCCATACAATTTCATACCAGTTTTTTGATTTGATTAAAAATCGAATTTTGACAAAAATCGACCACAATTTTGCGAAATTTAATTTTTTCAAACTTATGTAAATATTTTTCAACCATAGGTTATTGCCTAGCAGTTATTTTTTTTAGGTTTCCGGAGAACCGATTGCAGCAGATTGCGCCGAAGATATCGAAGATATAAATTTTTTTCTCCAAAAGCTTTAATGTGTGTTGTTAAAATATGTGTAAATATACCTTTGAAATATTTGATGTAATCGATTTTTTTAATTCCGAAAAATCGTATTTTTATACTGCCAGAATATATGTGCTTCTTAAAATTTTTTTTATTTTCTGCCCTAAAACTAGTAATCTCATATAAAATTAAAAAATTTTGTTTTTTATTCAATTAAAATATCCGTTTTCAGCAAGCTAATCGCGCCCTAACACTAACCTAACACTACCTATATTACAAAAGAAATGAAAATTTTGTTTTTTGCAATTAAAAAAAAAGTCAATAAAATCACTTTGTGATTTGCTAAAAATAGCATACGTTCGTTTATTTATTTACACTTCATAAAATTGTTAATACTTATTAATTAAAAAAATAATATATACAATCGTTAAAGTTATACATATTAGTCGTTCGTGAGATACTGGCATTAAACTTTCGTTTCAAATAAAATATATAAATACACACATACATATGTACAAAACTAGCAATAAAGAGGCGTCACAAGTGCGCTGTAATCTCCGCCAACAAATATATGTACTTATATACATATGTATATGTATGTATGCATGTGTATATGTAGATAGTTCAGCTATTTGCATAATTCATATAAATATTACATAATAAGTACAGATCATACTCAAACATTTACATAAAATACAATTTAAATAAGCATATTTATTTAAATTAACCGGCAATTGCACAAATGCAGCGCCACTTAGCTTGGCTTACACGAGCGTAAAGTAAAAGTATTGACAAGGCATTAATTAGACTATAGTTTAATGATTTAAGTTGACAGATAATTATAGTTAGATAAGACTTCAGACAAGCAAAAGACTTGCTTCCTGCATTTATTGGCTTAGTAGCCAAATGGTTAGTAGTAAATAACGGTTCAAATGCTGTTGTTGACTTTTTACTTTTTTGTTTTGCTTTGCGATTTAAAATTATTTTTGCAATAATTGAAGTAAATATGTATATGTATGTGTCTTTATCTACACATACATATATACATACATACACTGGAACTTATAACTGTACTCATTTAAATAGACGTGTAACTGCAGTGTGAGTAATAAAAATTACAATTTATGCGCATACAAAGAGTTACACAATAATAAAGTCATAAAAATTAATTGGATATTCACAGTTTTGTTTTTCCTGGACGCATCACACATTATACTACAACAACAACTAGGCGCATTGCATAGAAAAATATTTTAGCAAAAACTAAAATTTTTATATATTTTTTCCATTGAAACTTCTTTTTTTTTTTATGCATTCCGCAATTCAACGCTGACTTGTGACTGACGTCCGCTTTAGCTGCGCTGACTCATCGCTGGAACTGCAGCTGCTTGCCGGAGCGCTTGTCAGCCAGGCGCGCATTGGCGGCACACAAATCTCAAAATATAATATGTACATAGTTATGTGTGTCGCGGCAGCTTTTGCTGTTTTTGTTATTGTTGTTGTTGCTGAGACATTGCTTGCATGGCACTTTGACATTTCACTGCGACTACTAAACGCTGTCTGTCAACTTTTACAATGCTATATAACTTAAGGCTAATGCATATACAGTATATATTACAGTACGCTACGCATACATACACACACACGCGCGCGTCAGAAAGCAAACACATGCTAACTAAAAGTACACACCCATCCTTGATTTCATAAACTACTTCACAGCCCCAACCACTCAAAATATATTTCTATACGCCACATATACACACACGCCTTTACACATATAGGTATGCATATGGTGACTCCAACAGTTGCGCGCTTCCGTTGCCCCGCATGCACTTGCGCTAGCGTTAGCGCCTCGTTCAGGTCTTGTTAAGCACTGACAGAAAGTTCTCCACGCGCTCCTCATCCATGGCTGCGCTACTCTCCTCATTCAACAGATCGCTGATCGAGTAAGCGGAGAGCGGACGTGACAGGCGACGCTGCGACAGTATGTCATCGATGGAGGTGACGGGCGACAGCGACTTGCAGCCGGCATATATGAAATTCTCGCTTTTCTCCGCGTTGCGCGCGATAGCGGCGAAAATATCCTCTAAACTGGATTTTATATTCAGTTGCGGACGGAAGAGCACCGGCGATGAGGCGAGCGGCGAGGCGGATAATGGTGGTGAGTCGGAGGGTGGCGACGAAGCGACTGGCGAGGCGGTCGATGGCGTTGTAGATGTGCCGGCGCCGTTGTAATGCAACGTGGGGGGCGCGTTGGCGCGTCGTTTCGTGCGTCGTGGCGGTGAGTCGCGCCAGCAATTCTGTTCTTCATCCGTGTTTGTCTCTTGCAACAAACTCAGCGAATTCTCCAGTTGCTCCTGTGAGAGGAGCTGCGAGAGGCGCGATGCATTCAGCGTTGATTTCGGCGGTGGTGGTGACGCATGCGCGACGTCTTCAACGCTGTCGGCATCATCCTGCGATTGTATGGTTGGTGTGACGCGATTGATTTTCTTGCCCAAGAGCGCGGGTGACACCGTCACCGTTGGCACATTCTCGAACATTTTCGCAATTTGATTGACATGTGTGTTGGTTTGTATGGACGCTGGTTCTACCTGTCGTTTAATGTGATTGACTGTCGTCGTCGGCGTCGTGTCCTGTTTGCCGTAGTAAGCTTCGGTGGTGCCAGCAGTGCTGTGTCGTTTCGGGTAGACGCGTGTTACGGCTTTGCGCGGTTTCGGCTTGGGCACCGCTTCTCCCATTGTATGACAACAAATGTCCGGCGCATAGCAGCGATGATATTTGTGACGGTTGGCTTCGTAGTCAGCGTCGGTAAAAGTTTTGATGCGTCGCAGCGATTTCGGTATAAGCGTGAGGAAGACAAAGCTGTAGAAGAGGTAGGGGAAGTAAGCCCAAAAGGTCTCCAAGTATGCGAGGTAATCAATATCCATTGCTAATTGCTGTGTATGCGCTTTGGATACAAGTTGAGTTCGATTTTTGCTTTCTTTTCAAGTCTTTTGATTCGGTAGGAATCTTTTTCTTAGTACATATGGTTTGTTTCGGTTTTTTATCACAAGCGCTTTTTATGCAAATCGCAAAGTTTTAGTTCTTTTGCACTGTTCTTTATTCACATTTAATAATTTTTACACGTCTTCAATACTGAAATATAATTTTTGAGATTTTTTATTAGTTTTGCATTGTTTATATCTGATTAAATATTAATTAAATTGCTTCGATTGTCCACACTGGTAAAGAAGAAACGAATTTCTTGTCCACCAGTATTTTTAATTTTTTTTAACGGGATGTTAGGCAGTCGGAAAATATTTTAGATGCATTAAATTGTTATTTATTTTATTTTAAAACATTTTATTGAATTTATATATATATATATATATATTTTTTTTTTATCCATTACGCTTATTTAGCTTTAATTTCATTCATTTTTATTATTATTTGACTATTTTTGATCTTCGTTATTTGAGATTTCCACCCATGAGAATATTTTTTTGAGCTTTTCTCCAAATTTCTTAGATTACTTGCTCTTCATCCGACAAACGGAGAGGTGTATAAATGTGCAGGCGTCTACGACCAATTGTTCGACTGAGCATTAGAAAAGGAAGAATTGAGAAGATTGCATCTCATCCTCTTCTAAGCAACTTATGCAATTGGCATCCCATCAAACTTTTAATCTTGCCGTCTGAGTCCTGATCGGGCAGCATCCATTTAGAACTCCATGAAATTGGCTGAGGGCGAGGAGCTCACTAGACCTCTTACGATCGTTTCCTGGTCAGTGGGACTATTTATGAGTGTAGTTGGGAGAAATTTTTCCCAATCCCGAATATCAAAGTATAGTACTTCTATAGTAACTTCGATGACATCTCAGTCATATATCGTAATTTGTTCTTTGACTACACCATACAGAAATTGAAAAGCATTGATCTTATCTGTAGACAATATATATATTATATATGCAGATATCAAAGTCTATCAGAGAAGAATAAACATATAAAACGAATGCAGTGAGATATCTTTTTTATCTGTCGGTTTCCATGACTGGCGGGTCTAAGTAAACGAAACGTACTGAATTTATATCCGTTCAAGAACTGTCAACTCGGCATTACTCTGAAAAATTATTTTGGCATATTTTTAGTCGTTTTCACATTTTTTATCTGGTTTTTGCACACATTTGTATTTTTTAGTTATATATAAGTAATAATTTAGTATTATTATTTTTTTTTTTTTTAAATATTGGTAGCAGGCAAATTTATAAACTGAATTTTTAAATATTAAATTAAAATATTATTTAATGTAATTTAAAGATAGTTATTAAATATAAAGTACTTCTGTTAATCTATTTTTATTTATTCATTTTTATTTAATTTTTTTATTTTTACATTTAATTTATTTGTGTTCTTTTGTGATTTATTTTATTTTTTACCGTGGTTGACTGTGGATATCAGTTTGCCTTCCGTCATTTACAGCCATATTTACAATATTAATCTTTTTCACTATAATTGTACATATCTACATATACAAGTATACATATATGTATTCTCTTGTTCAAATGTATCAGTTATCGATTTTATGCGTTTCTGGGCGATATTAATACTTTTATTGAACATTTTTTTTATTATCATTGCCATATTTATAAATTTATATCTGTTTATGAAGCAATTTGATTTTTATGCCCAAGCAGAGTATATTAAGTTTGCCACGTAGTTTGTAACACCCAAAAGGAAACGTCGGAAACCCCATAAAATATATATGGTATATAAATTATCACTTGAACTGAGCCGATTGAACCATGCCCTTCTGTCTATCTGTATGTTGTATTGAGATATCGTACTGAAATATCACGCACGTTCTTATCTCCCCTAAGAAGCTGCTGAGAAGAAGGATACCACTATAGTATATAGCTGCCATAAAACTGACCGATCAAACTCAAGTACTTGCATGGAAAAAATTTTTACTTGATATATTCATGAAATTTGGCATGGATTTTTCCAAGGCAACAAAACCATCTTCGAAAAAATTTTCAGATCGGACTACTACAGCATATAGCATAGCTGCCGTACAAACTGTCCGATCGAAATCAAGTTCAGGTATGGAAAACCTATTCTAACATGTTTTCTTGTTTTAATTAATTAATTTATTTATTTGTTAATTAATTGATATATGTATATACCATAAAGAGATTTCTTTATTTTAATTTATTTTTTAGATCTTTATAGACAATTTTCGTTATTTTTGATTTTTAACATTAATTTTTTATTATAAAAAGAACTAAATTTTATACTAGCTTAATATTTTATAAAGCTTTTATTTTTATATATAATATAGTTATTTAGATATATATAAAAATATTTCTATTATTTTAATTTTATTTTTAGAATTTTTGATAGTAAATATTCATTAACATTTGAATAATTTTTTACTGTTTTGAAAATTTTGTATTTATTTTTTTCATATAAAAATAATTAGATTTTATATTGGCATAAAATTAAATTTTATAAGGCAATTATTTTTATATATGATATATTTATTTAGGTATGTACTTATATAGATACTTGTATTTATTTAATTTATTTTTTGAATTTATGATAGAAAATTTGCATTAAATTTTTTAATAAAAATTATGAAATTTTATATAAGTATAATATTTTAAACAAACATTTTTTGATTTTATAATATACATATTATTTAATTACTTAATATTATATATTATTTATGTTTAATTTTTTCATATTATATACTTTTTTTCAATTAATTAACTCATTTTAAAACGTTCTAACTGTATTTTTGATACCTATATATATTATTTTATAGTAATTAAGCACTCTATGCACCTTCCTCAGCATCAAATGCACTACTGAACGGTACCAAATATATTTCGCCGTTATACATGGATCTTGTCAATTTTAGTTCTACCGGCAAAATGATGCACAAATGCAACAAAGCTGTATGTATGTGTGACGTAAAAATAGTAAGGAAAAAATCTAAACTCATAAATCAAATCAAAAATGCCTCCAAGTGTCGTACAACATCATATGTATGAATGTATGTAAATAGATTTGCCAGGAGCCGCTTCTTCAGCTGGCCACCCACGCGATATCCGATTGCAAGCAGCATATTCACACAATTCCAAAGCAAAAATATAATAATTTTGCAGCTGCACTACTTTGCGTAAATTTATTTATTATTAGAGTGGCAAGAATTTTGCAAACTGTTTTTTGGCACAATAAACAAAAAAAAAATGTTTTCAATTAAAAAAAATATATACAATAAATATCATTGTAAAAAAATTTGGTATTTTTGTTTTTTAATTTTTTTTCGTTTTCAATATTGCTCGATCGCTTTTTATATTTTTATTTACTTTTTGCTATTTTTTAACATGTTTTACACGCCAAAATTTTTCATTACATTTCTAGTATTTCTTGTCTTCACTTTGTTGAGATCAATTCTACAGTCAATGCTTGCTTTGCAGTATCTTTGAATTAATATCATTTACTAATTTAAAAAATAAAAATAAAATAGTTTTTGTGCTTCGTATGAAACGCGTTCTGCCGTCGCGTTCTACGGTCGTTATGTCTCGAAATATCTGCGTTAACTGAAAACTCTTTGCAGCCGCACAGTTTGCCGTTGCTCTGAACCTTGTGAGGAAGAAGCTACGGTACAATGCTCGCAATGCGGAACCGATAACTAAGCAAGTACAAGTACTATTTACAAACACAGACACATGCCTAGACGTGAGCAAAAGGTAACAACACCCGACCCCCTAAAAGCTACTGCCGGGGCTAGCGTGAGTTACTGTTTAATATTTGGCGCGCTCTCGCCAATTTGGCGCCCAACAACGAGAGGCGTGAGATCAATGCAGGCAAGTGGAGAGCAATGCGAGCACTGCTAGCCTAGCAGCGTTCTCAACTCGGCGAGATCGCTCCACTTGTGGAGCACCATTCTCATTTACTCTTCATGACTCTCGTGGAGTGCGTTTGTGTGTGCGCTTTATTTGTATTTTTTATTTTTTATTTTTGCAAATGTGTAATTTGTTTAAACATTTTTTTTTGTTTATTTTTGTATTTCTTTTTTGTTCTTTTGTTAGCTTTTCAAATGCCGGAACAGAAGCTGGCAAGTGCACGGCGAAGCTTTACTCAGCGGCTGGCTACACTTGGCTGCCTAAAGGATTTACACATATAAACAAATTTTGAAAGAAAATAAAGTTCTATAATGTCAGTGAATAGCGAAAAATCTGAGCAAATCATTTAGCTTTTATTTTAATTTGAATTTGTTTTTGCTTTTATTCATGCCGTTGGTCGTCTTTAGCGGCAGGGTTGTTGCGGCCTACAGCGTGTGGCGGACTTTTATTATTATTTATTGTAATTTGTATTTGTCGCTTGACGTACTTTTACATATTTACAGACATACACATACATATCAACATATCTCTATAATCCGAATTGAAACGGCTGTTTGTTGGACAGCTGTTTTTAGTGGGCAGCGCATCTAATTTCGTGTGCGAGAATCATGCGAATATGGCTGGTAAATATTTTTCCCCAACTTGTAAATATGTATAAGTATATGTATATGCATGTAGGTACTCAGATAATTATGTGCATATTCTCAGGTAAAATTTGGACACACTTTCTTGTGTATAAAAGCATTATTTTATTATGAATTTGTATATGAGTTTGAAATTTTCAAAAATCGTCAGAGAAGAAAGTGCTTCCTAGACGTGTGGACGCATATATTTATATACAATTAAAAAAATTGCAAAACATCAATTAATTTTCATATGGCATTAAGTTTTGATAAACATATTTTTTTGTTTAGTGATTTACGATTTGAGTGCACTTGGCCCAATTTTTGGCAAACGGCATAAATAATGTTGACTAGCCCTCTCATATTATTTTTGTTTTGTTTTAAGGGGTATATTCACATAGAATTTCAAAAAAGCAATTTTTTTTGTGCTTATAATGGGTGGTTTCTTTAGACGTATAGTTGTGCTAATACTTTTTTCGGAGTAGGTCTTTTAGAATCGGCAAATAGTTTCGTAGATATGAGGGTATTTGTAAGAATTTTTATAGCTCAGTGTAATCGGCTCCCAAAACATTCAACGCTTTTTTCTCAAATCACTGTTTTCACAGCCGGTGAGGAAAATTTCTCCGAAATGTCAGGTAATAATCGAAGGAATGAGATTTTTGAATAAAATTTCGAATTTTTAGGACACCCTGAGTTGCACATTTTTTCACAAAAACCCACTTTTTTGGGAAACCGCCATTTTGTCAAAATTTTGATTAGTTCTTCAATCATTTTCATCTATTTTTTTGTATTGGGATTAATTTTAGGCAGATAATGTTTCCTCACCGTCAGACACTTTTTATCGGATTTCCTCTTAGAGATAGACAACGACATTAAAGGAATTACATTTTTTTCAAAATCAATCGTCGATTATTAAATTACATTAAATTCTCTAAATGTACATTTTTATTTTATAATTAATTTTTATCTGACTTGTAGTAGTGTAGTAGATAAAAATCCCCCTCTCTTATTAAAAAATTAAAATTATAAAATATTAAAATTTTTCACCTTACAAATTATTCCAATTATTTAAACTCTAGAAAGCACAATATTTCATGTCTAAACACCCTATTAAGGTCTATTTGTGGCAACTGCATCATCAACATTATAATTTGTCTGCTTTAAAAGCACTTTCTAGCCTTGTGACAAATACGCTCTAAAAATACCAACAATACCAAGTACCACACGTAAGCAAGTATGTGTATGTGCGTATAATTTTATGCCTCGAAACACTTTCCGAAATAGATATTTTTGCTTCTACATTGTTCAGCTATCACTTTGCGGTATTTCCTACAGTATTCAACTGTGCGGCCGCTGCCAAGCCATGACACACAGTTGTTGCTGCTAATTCATTTAAATTATTGTCATGATTTTGGCGACTTTCGCACCGCCAGCCGTCACTAAAACAAAAACAAATCGATCTTGGCACCTTTGCTTTGGAAGTGACAACTGCGTGCATTTAAAGTGTTTTTATTTATTTTTATTATCTGCGTCATTTTTATTTAATTGCTTTAAGTAAAGCAATTATGTTTTTGTTGTTGCTAACGATTTGCAAGCGTGTTTACTTAATTTGTATGTATATACTTGTATTTGCATACAAAGTTTATTTAGTTTAAGATTAAGGTCTATAAAATGGGTCGGTGTGGACTTGGACCGCATTTTTATGTACATATTTACACACATTTTATATAGACGAATGTAATGTATGATTATTTATATGCCAGGTTAAGCACAAAAGTCAAGTAAGTTAAATAAATATCTAGTACGCATAATACCTTTATGGCATTGAGAACCGGTGAGCGAGATTCAAATTTATCAGCAACATAAATTTTTTGTTTCATACTTGAGATGTATACGAAATATGATTTATCATAAAATATTGCATTATACAATTTTACGTAGACTTTTAGCATGAGACTAAAAGCTTAAAGGAAAAATTTAATGTTAATATAATATCATTGAAATTGGCTGTTCGATTCGATACTTTTCTGATTAAGTCCTACCCCTGGTTACAGATGGTTATATTCAAAAGCAAAAACAAAATTATTCAGTTGTATTCAATACAAGTGACTATTTGGGAATTATATTACACTATATTTGATTATGCCAGTTTATTGTATTTATACCAGTTACTGGTTCGATTCAAATTGCTCCAAGGATCTCTTACACACGTAAGCGAGAATATACGAATCTTTGACTGTAGTGAAAACGGTAGATAAAGCTGTGTGGGTTTACAAATTATTTATAATCATGAAGATGTCTATGGGCCGTGGATAGCTGAATACCTGATTTTTTTATAGCTTAGTTTATGTTTTTAATATATGAATCTGAGACAACCGTCTAGTCTTGGTTGTTTTATTTTTTATTTTTTAATTGGGTTTCAACACAGTAACTATAAAATTTCTAAAGTTTCTTTATAATGTCGCACAAGTTCTTTGCATAAGATGGAATCTCAAGATGGTAGAGGAAATTAACTGGCCATTTGATCGTCCGCAGTTATCCGTTATCGACATTTTTCTTGTGTAGAACCTTAGGGTAGAGTTTTTGGCAAAAAGTGCATGCCACTTGTGGAATTCAATAAATATATATTTCGACAGGAAATGTGAAAAGTTTTATGAAAAACCTGATCAGCTAGCTTAGAAAGTTTTTATTTCAGATACAATGCGTTATGGAAATAAAACATGAGATAAAATATAATATTTATATTTAGTTAAAACCTCCAAACAAAAATTTATCTTATTTCTGGAGTTTCGAGTTTTTATGACCGTCTATATAGAATTTTAGTGTTCTTTTTTTTTGTTTTTTGAATAACTATGAAAATATTTTAATAACTATGAAAATAAATAAAGTATTTTTTTTTTTTGTGAAAAAAATTGACAATTCAAAACTGGGTTAAAAAATCGAAGTTACTTTAAAAAATCTCATTTTTTCGATCATTACCTGACAAATATATTCAAGATCGTGTGAAAATTTCTAAACGGTTTGGAGAAATTTTGCTCATCGGCTCTGAAAACAGAGCATCGAGAAAAAAGAGCTTAAATTTTTGGAAGCCGTCTACACTTAACAAATTCTTACAAATACTTTCATCTATGAATCTATTTGGCGGATTCATTTCAATTTTTTGCAGAACATTTTTAAATATATGTACAAACATTGTATATACATATCGTAAAAAAATTGCTTTTTTGAAATTGAAAAGTGGAAATAACCTTTTATTTAATTCGCGTATATTTTTTAATTTGTTTTATGTATATATTGCATTATAATTTATTATTTACATGTTTAATATTTTTTTTTAATTTGGTTAACACTAAGTTATATAAATTATAAAGATGTATTTTATATTTTAATTTATTTATTTAATTTTTGGTATTTAATTGAAAGCTATTTATGTAATTTTTGTAATACAACCTCGCAATATTGCTTTTTTTTACTTGTTTGCCATTTTTTATAAAATTTTATTTTTGTGATTATATAATAATTTAAATTTTTATATTTCCTGTTTTTGCTTATAGGTATTTCAATTAATTTTACATTGTTTTTTTTTTTAATTATGTTCCAATTTTTTTTAAGTTAAAACCATTTAATTACTTTATTATTATTAATATTTATTCAACGAAGTCTCATTATTTCATCTCCAAAAAATTTTATATTTTTATTGTCTTCCAATTTCACGCCAATGTTTTTATACGCAGATGCATGAAAACATATAATAAACAATTAATCATCCATTTAATTAGCAATCATGCATTATCACCAGTCTGTTGAAAAGTAGTTCCTGTACTAGACAACAAAAAATAAAACAACAGCAACAACATGCCTCTTTTTCTTAAACGTTTTCACAATCACAACTTTTCTGTGAAATTCACTCGATTAATTTACTTTGCGTATTTTTATTTCAAGGCTACTGCCGCCACTTAGTCACTTGCCACTTTTACTCGATCGAATTGGCGTTCGATTTCTTGCACTTATCGCGGCTACCAGACACTTCGCATGCCAGCACGTTGTACTCGCTGCGATAAGAAGAACTCGAACAATGCAAAATGCGAACGAAGGTGTGCTCAGCAGCAGAGTAGGACGTGTGCAAGCCAAATTGAATCGAAGGCAAAGAATCGACAAGAGTCCAAGCGCACTTTACGGCTTCGTTACCGGCGTGCTGCAAGCAAACACTTTGAGCGATCGTGCTCAACTGAACGCAAGAAAACGCGCCAACCAACGCCAAGCAAGCGAATCAAACATAAATATATTATGGAGCATACAATACAACAACAACACACATACAACAAACAAAAAACACGGAGAAAGATGAAAGTTCGGCGGACTTGCACTCAAGCTCGCACTCATGAAATAAGCGAGCGCTGGCTGAGGATCACTTGCCCCCACACTCACACATGCACATATATAAAAGGGTATTAATAAGCAAAATTTGATTAAAAAAAAAAAAAATTAATGCATTCGTTTGACGCAATGGGACAGAAATGCATGCGCAACGCGTCTAAAGAAGAAAACTCAAGCCAGTTCTCGAGGAAGGCGAACGCAATTTGTAAAAATAAAAGGCAAGCACACGGGACAGGATTAGCTCTCCGTGCCGTGACTGGTGTGTGTGTGTGTGTGTGCGTGTATGCAAATGAATGCTATCGCAATGGTTGTGATCTTGCTTCCCTTCTTGGATGCTGTGGCATTAACTGTGCATGCGGCACGATTGGTAAGCAGGCCACGCAAGAATGATGAATCATCTGTTACTCATATGGGAATGTTACGACCTTTTTTTTTAATTTTTATTTTTGTAATTTTGTGTGTTGGTTTCAAACAGAAATATAGTTTTATGGCTCGGTTCTTCTGTTGGGTAATTTGCAAGCCAATTTTTTTTTTTTTTGTTTGTTCAAAAAAAATGTTCGAAGCGAAAAGTGTGAGTTGAAATTGCATAGCTTTTACGTCTAGATTGGTACAAAATTACTTCTAAAAGAGTATATATATTTATAAAATCACATATTTTAAGAGGTATTCCGAATCCAAAAGCTTTATATACGGTATTTTCATAAACTACAGTTGTTTCAAATATTTTCGATCTTAAATAACATCTGATCAAATTTGACACGGACTGATTCATTTAAACTACGCGTTGACATCAAATTTGATCAGATGTGTTTTCCTTATCAGAGTTGAAAACAAATTTGGGAAACACTGTACATTTTCAGCGGATTCATCAATATCAAGTGGCTTGAGTTTAATCATCATGGAATTTCTGGAATCGATCCATCTAACCAAAATCATGCCAATTGGATGAATGTTTTGAAAAGAATATACTTCAAATCCAAACGCCTTATTCAATCTGCTGAAATCACGTGCATTTTATTAATCATATTATTAGTGATTCTAACTCCGATAATGCTTGGCTCGCACTGCAGTAATGGTTAGAGGACTATCTTCATGAAGTGCGTAACATTTTCTCATACAATCGGAGAAGTTCGACCAAGCTTCTTTTAATGGTTTATTGAATTACCATAACTTATTTCTACTCACTAAGCGATCTTTCAGGCTTTTCTTCCACCTAGAAATGGTCTGCGATTGCTTCTTTAAACTCCATTAACAAACTCAAACATAAATATATATTTATGAACATAAGTAGATAAGTTTTTGTGATATATAACCATACTCGTGAGTGTCGTTCTTGAGCGCACTTACATGCCTAATTGGTAATAATTTTTGTCACAAGGAATGCTGCTTAAATGAAACCACGTAACGTGCAACTTTGTAAGCCAACTTTTAGAATAACCACAAAAGGACACGGTAAAATTAAGTTAAAGCAAAAGGAGTTGACAGAAACGAGAAAAAAAGACATAAAAAGGCGTGCGTTGATCAAATAGATTTCCAACCTACATTTCCTGAGATTGGCGTGGAGCTAAGGGCATTGAGCGGATATAAAATACACCAGTGGGAAGGAAGATAAGAAACCTTTAGATTCATAAATTCATTATGTAATTTCATCACTCTACAAGACTCTAGCTTTGACTAGATTTAAGAATTTTTAAAAAATTTTCTTCAGACGGCTCTAAAGTCATGCGAAACTACTACCACTTCAGAACTGTAGGCCTATACTCCATCAAGTATAATCTCTGTTGGGATGCTAGAGCATCATTTACGAGCTTACAAAACGGACTTTACAACAGCATAATGCATAACTGCATCCACAATGTATTTCTATACATAAATACAAGCGCATGTATGTATGTGGCACGCTCAATTTTAATCACGACTTCAATAGCGCCATAGTCTTTTCCTACCTTTCGGTATTGCCACAAAGTAAAAAAAAAGAGCCGAAAACTGACTACCACGACTTCGATATCAATTTAACTTGACTGACTGACCGGCCGAATGACAGCCAACCGGTCATGCTGACCATGCTGAGGCACCTCGCTCGCTCCGTTAGCTCGCTCGCTTGCTGGTTTGGTAGAATGTTCTGTTAGACATTGCGCCAGACGACAGATGATCTTGAAGTCACTTACATTATTCAATGCTATGCATAAGAGAGGAGTGCTCTTACCACATTGCATGAATGTATACTTAAGTCTGACCGTATGTCTGAGTGTTTGTATGTATGTCTGTGAGCCGCAACATAACTTTGTAATTGGTTCTTTTGTTCAATGTGATAAATGGACAGTTGAAGTTGGAAGTTGAAGAATTGTTTTTACAACCTTAGCCTTAGGCTGTGCTACTGCGCTTTGGAGGTTTTCGTTTTTTATGCTTTTTGCAGCATATTTGTGGGTATATTTGTGTGCGTTTGTTGTTTAGGTTTCATTTGAGCCATTACTTGGATTGACAGCCACCGCACCGCACCGCTGATTATTATGTTGGCACAGTCAATTTCTTTCTATTTATTGAATACTCGCAATTTTATTGCCATACAGGGGCTGCTGGATGAGTGGCAGCGCGTCTGATCAGTTGGGTGCGCATGCGCGGTAGCAAATGCCAATGGCTATTGTGCGAGCGCCATCATCATTGATCACCGCTTGTTGTCGGCCGCTGCGAGCAAATCACTGGTGTGTACAATACAGATTTATGCGTTCAACAAACAGTCGCGTTGTTGGCAATTAAAGTTTGTTGTTGTTTTTACATTTAATTTTTATACCCAGAACAGGGTTTGCTGTCTGTATATACGCGAACTAGTCCGTCAGTTTGTGAGATATCGATCTAAAATTTTTCACACATCCCTTTCTCCGCAAGAAGCTGCTAATTTGTCGGTACCGCCCATATCGAACCACTATAGCATATAGCTGCCATACAAACTGAACGATTAAAATCAAGATATACTCGTAGATCTTTTTATACTCTTTTGTGCACAAAGCACTGCACCTGTGAAGGGTATTATGACTTGCCGATGTTAACGTCTTTTGTTGTTTTGTTTTGCTTCCAGCACTGAATCATCAGAAATACCTTTCGTTTAAGTTCTCGCATTCTTTTATTTATTTGCTTGGATTGTGTGCTTTATTATTATGATGATGTGTTTTTATTGTTTTTGCTGTTTTTTTCTGATTCATAATTTAATTTATTGAATTCCAACTCTGGCAGTAATGTTCTTGCGATCTGTTTTCTTCTGCTGGAGTTCATGATTGCGGTCTGTTTCTTCGTGTTTCGTTGGTTGAAATCGTGATTTTGCTTTCTTTGTCTTTTGTTCCGTCATATCTTGTTGTGTTTGTGTTGTTTTTGTTTGTTCTGATAAGCTCATGTTTTGCAAGTATTTCTTTAATTGCATTTTTTATGATTATTTCATTCTTTAATATTAAATCTTTTGTTATTTTTATTATTTACTTTATGGTTTTCATCGCCGATATATTGTGTAATTCGTATAAGAGTTGAAGATGGAAAATTTTATTCCAGCCTCTTCGCTAGCACATGAAGTAAATCTTTTCGAACAAAAAGTCTCACCTTTTCAATATATATATATACACATAATTCATAAAAAAATATCAAAAGATATCAAATAATATTATATATACATATGTATAAAATCTTTTTTGTCAGATTTCATCACTCCACACCCTTATTATCAATGAAACCTGCAGTGCATATCAAATACTTATACTCGTATATATTTTCGGTTTATTATTTTCAAGTAGCGATCAGTTTGCGCATTTCTCACCGATAATTTTTTATGTTACTGATCAAACGTAAGTGATATTTTGGTTGCTTGGCAGTTATAAAGGTATTGTTATGTTTTTGTTTATCGCAACTGCACCGTAAAGTGCTTGGCAACAGTTTTATAAGTTGGTGGAATAATATGTATTCAAAAGATCAGTTTTTGTGTGATTTTGATAACTGATGATAAAAATTATTCATAAACTAATAAAAGTATCCATTTTTTAAACGGATTATGGCTTATGTTAAACTTTCTTCGATTATATGAATATATGAAAGTAAAATTTCGCTTTGAAGATTTTAAATGCTCGATTTTTTAAATCTATTGCTTCGTTTTCTAAAATAGATTTTATTCTATTTAATTATTATACATAGTTATTTAAGAATATATAAATTACGATAGGAAGTTTTTTGGAAATAAATTAAATTTTTGCAAGGACAGCGAATTTTGTATGGTAGGTATGAGGAATAAGTAGGTTTCAGTGAACCAAAATAATC